AGGGTGAGCCTTTTAAAACATAAATCAGATTGTTCTTTGCCCCAAACTCCCCAGTGACTGCCCATCTCAGAATAGAAGATAATCCTTAAATGACCTATAGTAAGGCCTAGATGATCTGGCTTCTCTTTTCCTTTTAGTTTCTCTTTCTCTCATGACCTACATACACTACTCTCTCACTCTGCCCCGTTTATTTGTTAATGTGTCTCTGATGACACACTTCAACATCAGGGCATGTACCCAGGTTGTTACCTCTGCCCAGAATGCTTTTCCCTTTTTTTAATCTCTGTAATTTACTCTTAGCTTATTCATATCTTTGTCCAACTATTATCTTCATAGGGGCTTTCCCCAGCCACATTGTTTAAAATGGCAATGACTCTTTTCTTTCTGCTTTTCTTCTCCAAAGCACTTATCATTTGATCTACTATGTCTTTTCTTATTTGTCTTTCTTCTGAACTCCCAACTAGATATAAACTCCATGAGGGCAGTTTGTTTTGAACATTTGGTTCATTGCTAAATTCTGGGCACCTTGACCAATGTCTAGCACATAGTGGACGCTCAGTAAATGTGAAATGAATATACGCCTTTTTAAAAAAATAAATTTTTATTGTTCATATTATTACAAATATTCCTTCCCCTCCTTCATTACTCTCCTCCCCCATGTTCCCACCCCACCCTCTGCCCTTTTCCCACCCCCCATTGTCCTCATCCATAGGTGCACAGTTTATGTTCAGTCTCTTCCCACATCCCCCTCTCCCCATTTCCCCAAGAATTATCAGTTCACTCCCCTTCCATACCTCTGATTCTATTATATTCAAAGTTAATATTGTTCACAAGATTTTTTTTAAATTTCCTTGGTTTTTAGATTCACTTGTTGATAGTTACGTATTTTTTGTTCATAATTTTTATCTTTATTTACTTTCTCTTCTGAAAGAACCCCCTTCTGCAATTCATATAATTCTGGTTTGGTGGTGATGAACTCCTTTATCTTTTTTTTATTAGTGAAGCTCTTTATCTGACCTTCGATTCTGAGTGATAGCTTTTCTGGATAGATTATCTTTGGCTGTAGGTTCTTACTATTCATCACCTTGAATATTTCTTGCCATTCCCGTCTGACCTGCATGGTTTCTGTTGAGAAATCAGCTGACAATCACATAGGTGTTCCTTTATAGGTAACTACCTTCTTTGCTCTTGCTGCTTTTAATATTCTCTCTTTGTCTTTTGCTCTTGGAATTTTAATTATGATTTGTCTTGGTGTGGTCCTCTTTGGATTCCTTTTGTTTGGAGTTCTGTGCGCTTCCTGGACTTGTAAGTCTAATTATTTCACCAGGTGGGGGGAGTTTTCTGTCACTATTTCTTTCAGTATGTTTTCTATATCTTGCTCTCTCTCATCTGGGACCCCCATAATTCTGATGTTGGTTCACTTGAAGTTGTCCCAGAGGTTTCTTACATTATCTTCAACTTTCTGGATTGTCTTGCCTTCTAGCTTCTGTGGAGGAGTGTCTTCTGGCTCTTTATGTTCCAACTCTTTGACTTGATTCTTGCGATCTTCCATTCTGTTTTTAGGACTCTGTATAATATTTTTTATTTCAGACAATGTATTCTTTATTTCTTATTGATCCCTTATCATTTCTTGTTGATCCCTTATCATTTCTTGTTGATTCCTTATTAATTCTAGTTGATCTCTTTTCATATCCTCATAGGTCTTATCGATCTTTTCTAGGAAATTCTTGAAAAACCTTATAAGCGTAGATTTGAACTCTATATCCAGTCGCTTTTTGTCCTCCATTTCTTTCATTTGTGATCTATTTTGTTGTCGCATTTCGCAGCTAAAGATGGGGCGGAGTTTCAGAGTGGAGCCTACAGCCTTGGCTTCTGTCAGCCCCACCCTATGCGGTTCCTGAGTCTCAGTAATCCCCAGGGTCCTTCAGTTGCAAGCACCTCTGAGAGAAAGGTGCCCTCAATTTTCGCCTGCTACCAGTATAGGCTCTCCCCCAATGAGCCCTGAACTGGGGTTCAGTTCAGTTGGTAGTGGGATTGGAGGTGGCGTTCAAAGCAGTCTGGAGCCCCTGTCTCCTTCCCACCAGGGCAATCCCAACTGTCCCTTCTCTGCGCGCAATGTGCGCGCGGCCAGGATCTCCTTTCGCCGCTCCCCCGGGGTTCCGCCTTTCAGCCCAGCTCCCGCTGGATTAGCCTGGGTCCCCAGGGTCTGGCCTAGAACTGGGGTTCAGAGCAGTCAGAACTGGGGCCCAGCACAGTCAGAGCTTTTATCTCCTTCCCGCTAGGGAACGCCAGCCAGGCACTCAGCCTCCCTCCTCTCCGGCTCTGTCCTCTCCGCGCCCGCTGCATGTCTTTGTACCTTAGACTTTTACAGCTCCTCCGCTCTTTCTTCTGGTTTTCTCCTTGCTTCTCGTTGTAGAATTTACAGTCAGTCGACTTTCCTGTAGTTCTGGGTAATGTCCATTTTATATTTTAGTTGTATTTTATTGAAATTGTTGTGTGCAGCTGCGGCTAGGTGTTTACCTGGGCAGCCATCTTGGATCAATCTCCACCCAATGATTATTGAGTGGCAGGTCCCACTGCCCACCTTACCCAATCTGAATGTATGTCTTGATCCATTTACATATATAAATGCAGCAAAAGTCAAACATGGTAGTAATTTGGAATTATGATTATCTGGTTATGGTACCTGTGTTTTTGGTCCTTTATAGTTCATGTGATTTTACCAGAATTTCCAAAAAGATTTTTTTTCTTGCCTAGATTGTGCATACCTAGATTGTGGGTTCAATCCTGTAGGGCAGTGTTTCCCAAAGTGTGGTATGCATACCCCCAGGGGTATGGGAAGAGTTTGGTGGGGGTACACATTGCACCGGAGTTTGGTGGGGATATGCACTGCACCGTGCTTAGCTGCGCCTAATTCTACGTTCTCATGAGTACTAGGGGTACTCAGTATTATGAAAATTATAGAAGGGGTACAAATATGTCAAAAGTTTGGAAAACACTGCTGATTGATGTTTATTTCTCTCTCTATCCATTCCCTCTCTCTCCCTTCCACTATCTCTCTAAAAATCAATAAACATATCCTCAAATGAGGATTTTAAAAAAAGATTTTTTTTTTCTTACTAGAGTAGACATAAACTACATATTTAATTTACTAGATAGATGGAAGGGAAGTATGGAAACACATAATTTGAAAGGAGTCTCAACAGTAAACACCAAATTAATTATCCTATATAATAAAGAGATAATATGCAAATTGACCCTCACACCCTTGCACAAGATGGCTGCCCCATGTGGCAAAATTGGCCACCACAAGAAGGCCTGCAGGGGAGGGCAATTGGGGGCAACTGAGCCCGCAAGGAATGGAGAGCAGTTGGGGCGGGGGGGGGGGTCCAGGCCTCCAAGGGAGGGCAGTTGGGGGGACCATGCCTGCAGGGAGAGGACAGTTGGGTCAACTGGGCTGGCAGGGAAGGGCAGTTGGGGTTACTAGGCCAGCAGGGGAGGGCAGATGGGGACAACCACGCCTGCACGGGAGAGCAGTTGAGGGGACCAGGCCTGCAAAGGAGGGCAGTTGGGGGTGACCAGGCTGGCAGGGGAGGTGACAGGGTCATCAAGGGAGGGCTGTTGGGAGCAGTCAGGCCTTCAGGGGAGGGCAGTTAGGGGCCACCAGGCCAGTTGGGGGTGGTCAGACTGGCAGGGGAGCAGTTAGGGAGTGATCAGGCTGGCAGGCAGGCTAGTGGTTTGGAACCAGCAGTCCTGAAATGTGAGAGGGATGTTCAACTGCCAGTTTAGGCCCTATCCCTGTGGGGCTCCCAGGTGGAGAGGGTGCAGGCTGGCCTGAGGGACACCTCTCCCAGTGCATGAATTTCATGCACCAGGCCTCTAGTAAATGATAAAATGTTAATGCAATAGCTAGATCTAGCATTTGCATAAATATAACTTAAATTCATAAAGCTTGCCCACCTGCCCTGGTTCAGCTGACCTTCAGGTCATCCAACATGACTCATCTTAATGTGCACTAATATGTAATGCATTACAGTTGTTTACAGAGGGGACAGTTTTTTCCATCATTAATATTATAGGAATAAAGAACAGGGAGAAGCATTTGATTGACTGTTAAATTTCTCCATCATGTCATACAAAAAGATTCTATGTTAAGAGAATTTAGTATGCCGAAACCAGTTTGGCTCGCAGATTGAGCGTCGGCCTGTGGACTGAAAGGTCCCAGGTTCGATTCCGGTCAAGGGCATGTACATTGGTTGTGGGCACATCCCCAGTAGGGGGTGTGCAAGAGGCAGCTGGTCGATGTTTCTCTCTCATCGACATTTCTAGCTCTCTATCCCTCTCTCCTCCTCTCTGTAAAAAAATCGATAAAATATATTTTTTAAAAAGAGAGGCAGCTGATCGATGATTCTCTTTCATCGATGTTTCTAACTATCCTCTCTTCCTCTCTGTAAAAAATCAATTTAAAAAAAATATATATAGAGAGAGAGAGAGAGAGAATTTAGTAGTATGTGTTTCTAATATATTTCTAATTAACTGGGTATAAAATGGGAACTTTATAGGGGCCTGCTGACTTAAAGTTAACTGTTTAAGGGGGAAGACTGTAGGAACTCAGAAACTATGCATCAAGAACTGTGCTGGGTACTTATAAAATCCTGTAATGCTATATAAGCATGAGAGCCAATGTGCAATCCCTTTGTCCCCCTTTCAGTTTGAAGAAGAGTTTTAGTTTCATTTGAAGAGTTATAGTTTCTTTTTTCTAGGATTTTTAATTCTCTTTGATAAATATTTTAGGAAGATGAAAAATTTTAGATATGTCAAATGTAGAAAGAGATAAAGGAGAAGTCATATTTTGGAAGCTTTATTTTCTGAAATTATATTGCAGAAATAGATATTTCAATTTAAGATTCCTCTTATTTTCCCATCTGCTGGCTTGAGTCACACAAGTTCACATCACCTATTAGTCTTTGGGTGGCCTTTAACAAAAAATCCTTTTCTAGGCAATCACAACAGTTAGGTGTTTCTCTGGATCAGAAAATGTCTTCCCTCAAGCTGGAAAGAAAGCACTCTCTGACTGTGGGGTCCACGTGCCAGCCAAGCAAGGATTTGATATCTACATGGATGAACCAGAACAAGAGGACAAAAACAGCTGCAGTGGGAAAGAGGGGATGGCATTTGAGGATATGTACGAAGTAGACACTAGTACACTCAAGTCAGACCTTCACTTTCTACTTGATTTTAGCACAGGTAATCTGACTTCCCTATGGTGGATGATTGGTACCCTGTATTCATAATCACCTACAGTATTCAATAGCATGTTACTAGCAAGAGGGTTATTGGGTACAATGATTTTTTAAATTAAATGTCTTACCTAAATGTTGAATCACTGCAGTTTCCCCTATGCTGGTAGAGTCATCTCTTCATGCTCAATCTGAAGATACATCAGATTTTGGTTCAGACATGATAAATGTGACTGAATATGCTGAAGAAATTCATCAGTACCTTAGAGAAGCTGAAGTAAGTTTTCCCAAATTCTACTTCAATTGCCATCACCCAAAGCACTTAGTATTAAGTTATAAACTCTTGTCCATAACCATTAATGAATGGCATTCTTATGACATCTAAATATAAGAATATCTATGAAAAATAATAGTTGCAAGGTGAATAACAATTACTTGGACTATTCTTCTATGACACAAATTGTTTATATATTAAGCATTTTACTGTTAGGAAAAGTCCATGTTGCCATTTCCCTCCCTCCTTTATTTGTCACCTAATTGCATCACAGAACCAGAATCTCACACTTTCTTTTGTGTCATAGTAAAGATTTATTTGTGTTTTGATCAATTTTCTTCTAACCTTTGCTCATGAGATTTTTAAAATAGCAGCTATACCATGGTATGATCTTTCTGATACAGCAAGTATTTAAATATCAAAACTCTTTCCCCAAACAGATGCGATACAGGCCCAAAGCCCACTACCTGAGGAAACAACCAGACATCACAGAAGGCATGCGAAGGATTCTGGTGGACTGGCTGGTTGAGGTTGGAGAAGAATATAAGCTTCGAGCTGAGACTCTCTACTTGGCTGTCAACTTCCTGGACAGGTTTCTTTCATGCATGTCTGTTTTGAGAGGGAAATTGCAGCTTGTAGGAACAGCAGCCATTCTTCTGGCTTCGTAAGTGTTCTTCAGCTTAAATAATGTGAAACTACAGTCTCTCAAAACACATGATTTATTCTTCATTTATTGAAAAAATTTAGTACTTAAAATTTATTCATGCCTTCTTTGATAAAATACCATCATTTTTATAGTATTTACTGAGAAACTGAATCTTACCACATGTTCACTCTTCAATTCAGATGTTTATGATACAGTTTCATGACCAACGTGGCTATCAGCTCAAATTCAGGATGCAATTTAACTATTTTGTGGTGTAATCTTTGGCTGTATTCTAGTACAAGCAAAAGTCCTATTTAATATTTTCTTTATATGGAAGTCATCTTTATGATCTGTTAAATGATCCATAATGCCAATTTATGTGGTTATAGTGAATAAATTATTCACTTTTCCTGTTACTATCAATCATTGATAATAATATCTAATTATGTGGAGAAGAGCTGGGTTGTTGCTGCCTTTAATTAGGGCGAGTAGTAGTTTTCCTTTCCATTCTTCTAGTCTCAGATATTCTAGTTATTAATGCCTAAAAACTTGCCAAAATTTCCCTACATAAAAGACAATAAAAGCAAAGAATTGTAACAGTGAAACTTTATCATTATCATGCTCTTAGATATATAGCATCATTTGCTAATTCTATAGAGAAAGCCAAACATAATGTATTTAAAAATCTAAAACTTAACAAATTCTTTTTCTACTATGTGTTCAACATAACATTCTTTCCCACAAGAATATTTTAATTAAGAGTAGTTTACATGTATGTCTGTCATTCAGAATCTTTTAGTATATCAGAGGCCAAAACTATAATTCTTACTGGAAATTGTTTCTGTTACTACCTAACAGTCAACACAACATATTTTTATAATATTCATGTTCTTGTTCTGGAAACAAATTACTATTATCTTCACAGCCCTATACCATTTAGAGACTTTTTTTTTTTTTTAAGTCTGAAAGGGTCATGTGAGAGGCAGGGTTTTGATAACACAGGAAGGAGAGCCACAGGTTCCAAACATTATTTCCAAAGATTCTTTACCTTTCATAGGAAATATGAAGAAATATACCCACCTGAAGTAGACGAGTTTGTCTATATAACTGATGATACTTACACAAAACGACAACTGTTAAGAATGGAACACCTACTCCTGAAAGTCCTAGCTTTTGATCTGACAGTGCCAACTACCAATCAGTTTCTCCTGCAGTACTTAAGGAGACAAGGAGTGTGCATCATAACTGAGAACCTGGCCAAGGTATGCCATGTAACTACCAAGATCTTTGGTGCCAAATTGGGTAAAAAAGTAGCCTTTCCAATTATCCTTTAGTTCTTTCCTTTTTATTTATTGTTGTTTTGTTTGTTTGTTTTATCTTGGGCCCAGAAAAACTTTTAGCAATGGAAGAGAGCTAATTTTAAGAACCCAATTTCTGGTTAGGAGACATTACTATTGATCATGTTTGGTAGGCATGGTTTGTCTAATGACTCGAGAAACTTAAGCTTGGGAACTGTTTCCTTGTTGAATACAGACCACATGAAAGCAATATTCTTAGGTATACAGAATAGGAACAAAGTAAGTGTGATTTGATTTGACTCTAATCTCCTCCAATCATATTAAGTAATGAAGCATTATTTAGTCATTTGGAGTTAAAGAACTTAGTTGAAGGCACGAAAGTGCATATTGGTTTGGAAAACATGGTTTCCAACCACTGTGATTTAGTATATCTAGTATTTATGTGCTATGCAAACAGTGATAAGAAACTCTATGTAAATTTCCAAATATGTTTTTTTTAATCTGATAGATTCCCACTGGGTCTAGCTCTGAACTGCATGATTTTGCCTGATATAAATAACTTTAATATGCTCATAGTTTGCCTTTGGCTTAAGTCTATAGTTCTACTCTAATGGCCAGAGCAATGCTACTTTATCTGACCAGCATAAACCTATACTACTAGTACAAGGTGAGTAACCTATTACATATATTGTGTGCATAGGCCAAATACTTGTGTATTGAAATTTATTACAACATAAATATTATTCTGTTTGTGGACAGGCATGGTAGTTATTAATCTAGGTGCAATTGATGTATATAGTTTGAATAAAAATAAGACACAATTGTTTCCCCTGACTTTTTTTTTTTTTTTAACCAGAGATTGAGCCCACAACCTGGGCATATGCCCTGATTGCATGAATGAAACTGTCAATCTCTTGGTGCCAGGATGATCCCTGACCAACTGAGCCACTCCAGCCAGGGCAATTCCCCTGACATTTTTAACTTTACTTGTAACTTGAGTTGAATTCCTAATTCCAATTAGCTTTTTCTTTCTTGTTTTTAGTATGTAGCGGAACTAAGTCTGCTTGAAGCTGACCCATTCTTGAAATATCTTCCTTCATTGATAGCTGCAGCAGCTTATTGCCTAGCAAACTATACCGTGAACAGGAATTTCTGGGTAAGATTCTAATTAGATAAAATTCAAGGTCTCTCTAAAATTTGTTCAGTAACTTTTAAGCCTTAGAATAGGCTGGCCTCTTATGAGTCTTACCAGCAGACTATGACAGCCTTTGTGGCTTTGACTCTACGGCTTTGCTCTATGGAGACTAGAGACTGCAGGAAGTCAAGAAGATAGTGTTGATATGCTCATTTAACAGAAGCAGGCCTGGAAACCTCAATGCCTGATCTTGCAGTATAAGCATTGATCACTTCAAGAAAAGTTGTTGACTTTTCCCCTAAAAGTTGTTCACAACCAATTAAAATGGTCAAAAGGTTGGATCATGCTTTCAAGGGACCAGGGAATTTAATGTTGCCTCTTGACCCAAGATTCTGAAGGCTCACTTATGTGCTAAAAGAAGTGGGGTGTCTACTTTTATTTTTTGTCTGTGTTTGGCTAAGAATCTTTTATATTCTATATACACAGGGAGTTAAGTACATTATAAATGTACAATATGAGCAAATTTAGAACTGGTTATTTTTTCTAATATTTTTGTCTAAAAGTCTCTAAAGAAGGATTATGTTGTATTTTGAAATAAATATGTATACAAGTGATTAATTTCCTTTATTTCATAGCTTTAGCTTGATTTCTCATATCTTAAAAAGTTATATGATGCAATTTTTCTTTTGTCTTAATTAGCCAGAAACCCTTGCTGCATTTACAGGCTATTCATTAAGTGAAATTGTGCCTTGCCTGAGTGAGCTACATAAAGCATGCCTTGACATACCTCACCGACCGCAGCAAGCAATTAGGGAGAAGTATAAGACTTCAAAGTAAGTTCTTGAAATTTTCTTTTCTAGACTTACTCTTTAAAGCTTCAATAAGTTTTAGTAATGAACAAACTGTATATCTGGTGCTGGATTGGAAAAACAATGTATATTGAATCAAGAAAATCAGTTAAAAACAAACAAAAGAAAACAAGCAAAAAAGAAAATCCATTAAGAGAGATATCCTAGTATATAAAAAACCAGGGTCTTTAATGATTGACCAAAGCCTCAACTGAACACCGGAAGTCAGTCCTGTAGTCAGTTCTGAGTTGCTATGGCGACCCAGCACTGACTGCCACCAGTGTGGGCACAGCGACACAGCACTGACTGCCTAGTGGACTGCGGATCAGACCCAGAGAGAGTCCTGGAGAGAGAGGCAGGGTCTGATCTGCAGCTTCCGTGACAGCTGTTGATCGGCTGTTGTCTCTCTCTTTCTCTCTGGGCTTTGCCAGCAGCTGCACCTCTGTTTCTCTTGGTGCCTCTGTGGGGGCTGCTGATCAGACCTGCCTGGAGATAGGCCTGGAGATGCTGACTGGCATAGAAACTGACCAATCAGAACCAAATCTGGGTGAACTGTGAGGAGCCAATTGCATGCCTAGGAGGTGGAGCTTTTTGATGCTGATTGGCATTAAAGCCAACCAATCAGAACCAAATTGGCCTTCAGGGCGGGCAGTTGTGGGCGAGATCAGGCCAGCAGGGGAGAGCAGTAAGGGGCAATCAAGCAGGCAGGCAGGCAGGTGAGTGGTTAGGGGCCAATGGTCCCAGATTGTGAGAGGGTGTCCGACTGCTGGTTTAGGCCGGATCCCACAGTGATGGAATCCCTGATTGGAGAGGATACAGGCTGGGATGAGGGAACCCTCCCCTCTGTGCATGAATTTAATGCACTGGGCCACTAGTAGATTTATAATTAGCTTGTAGCACATAGAGTCAACTAGCTTCCTTCCTTTCTACTAAAACTAATAGAGAGTTTTCTGTGGCCTGAGATTTTACAAAACTGAAGTCTTTGTCTTGTGCTGAACTTCCTTTGGGTTTCATTTCAGGTACATGCATGTGTCTCTCATGGAACCACCTGCAATTCTTCCTCTGCAATAAGTTTCAGAACTGAAGCACTTTCAGAACTTAACCTCCAGATCAACAGGATTGGTCTTAATTTTTGTAGGTTTCTGCAGGTTGAATCAACTAATGTTGATACAATATAGATGACATATTTTTTTTAAAAAAATATGAATGTATTTAAGTTCTCTTAGATTTAGTAGTTTGTAAAATAGTCTAACATTTTAAAAGAATAAACAACTTGCCTTATGACCATGTGTCAGGTTTATTTACTAATTATCGTGGCTTACACACTTGCCTGAATTTTAGATGAGAGTGTTAAAAATGTCATCTCAATTTTAAGAATTCGTCTAAGTTGGTTTTGCTAGTAAAAATTTGGCATGTGTTAGGGTTTGGCCGCTGACATGGGCTGTGAAAAAATCCACAATTGAGAGAAGAGATAGATGCAAGGAGGATATTTAGTTTACTTTCCAAGAGAGGAAAGAGTGGTTTGCTCATAATGGTTGCTGTTGCTAAGTGACAAGGAAGGGAGGGAGATTGTGTTGAAGTTGAGCAGATACCAGGGGAGTTGTCTTGAAAAGTTAACATTTGTTTACTTTCCAGTATATAGCCTAAGGAGGTGTCTTATCAGTATTTTTCCCAAGCCTGTGAAACAAACTTAGACCAAAATTTATGAATAGATCAAAAGAGGTTTATTGGAGGGATAGAAGGGAGAATAGAGGAGAATAGACCTTTCTACTAACTAGAGACTTTGTGGTACTCTCCTTGAGGGAGAAGGTGGATGCAAAAATACAGCCTTGAGAGTGGTTTACCTTCTCTTGCACTTTGAACAGAGAGGCTGTTTAAATCAGAAAAGCTAACACTCTTGGGGTTTAATTTCCAAGTGGTTCGCATAAGTAGCGGAAGGTTAAAGCAAGGAAAAGAAAGTCCTTTCAACAGCTATTAGGTTTAAGTGTTCTGAGGAACCCAGAGATTTTCATGTTTGGTAAGTGGCTGCCCTGAGGTTTTATTCTTCTATCTCTTTATATAACTCTCCATAAATTAGCAAAGGAAGGAACTCCAAGCTTAGTCAGATTAGTGAAGAGATGTAAACAAGCAGTATTATAGCTTCCTTCTGATACCCAAGGGAGGAAATGCAATGAGTTGAGGACTAAATGTGCTCAAGTAGAAATGAAAGGTGACATATTTAATGTTAATCCAGGAGGTGATGCTCATTTGGTAAAGGGATACCATTTTGACAATGCTTTTTTTTCTTTTCTTTTTTTGTTTTGTTGTGTTGTATTTCTCTTTTTATGTTTTTATTGATTTTAGCAAGAGAGGAAGGGATAGGTAGAAAAATCAATGATGAGAGAGAATCATCAAGTAGCTGCTCCCTGCATATCCCCAACTGGGGATAGAGCCAGCAACCAAGGCATGTGCCTTGACTGGGAATTGTACCAAGACCTCCCAGTTCATGGGTTGATGTTCAATCACTAAGCCACATCAGCCAGGCTGTCTTTTATTTTTTCCTCTTATTTTTTTTAGTGCTAATTTGTTTTCAATGATTAGTTTTGATTTAGTCACCCATTAAGCATTTTCAAGTATTTCACTCTTAGAATATGCTCAGAGAAGTACCGTATTTTCCGGCGTATAAGACGACCCAGCGTAATAGACCAGGCGGTCTGACACTGGCCAAGCTGACACTGGCCAAGCTGAGCAGGCTTTTTACTAGAACACAGTGTACATGTTCTGTACCCGAAGCTACACTGTGTTCTAGTAAAAAGCCTGCTCAGATTGGCCAGAGTCAGAGAAATGGTCTATTAAAAAAAGAACTGGTGTTTCCTCAGAAGTGGGGGGTAGTCTTATACAGCGAATATAGACCTAAACCTATGTTTTAACTATAAAATTAGGGGGTCATCTTATACGCCCGAAAATACGGTAGAAAAAGCAAATTTCCCCATAGGATGGGACTTCAGAATAATTTAATAATAGCTAATCTTTTATATTTATGTCTTGGGAGATACCCATGCTAAAATTTTCTCTTGCTCCATTATTTATGATTCTACATTTCACCTCACTACATATTAAATACTGTATAAGATGGGGAACATTCAAAAAGTAAACACTTAATATTCTTTTAAAGATTAGAAGGAAAATCAAGAGTAGACTTGGCCTTAAGGGAAGGTGTTGCTTAGTGGGGATATATAAATTTTATTTATTTATTTTTTAACTCAATCTTTATTGTTCATATTATTACAAAGGTTCCTCATTTCTTTCCCCCTCCACCAGGTTCCCATCCCACCCTCCGCCACCTCCACACCTGCCATTGTCCTCATCCATAGGTGCACAGTTTATGTTCAATCTCTTCCTCCCTCCCTTTCCCCAAGAACAGTCAGTCCACTCCCCTCCCATATCGCCGACTCTACTACAATGAACAGCTATTATTGTTCATCAGGTTTTTCAATCTCCTTTTGTTGTTGTTGTTGTTGTTTTTTAATTAATAAACTTTTACACTTCTAAAAATAAATTTTAAAATCTAATAATTTTAAACCTTGTTTTTTTTGTTTTTTTTTCTGCCCTGGGAGTTGAGAGCAAACTTGCCTTCATCACTTGATTCAGCAGACCCTCAAGTTCCCCCAAAAGTTTCCAGCCATTTCTGCGAGGCAGCCTTGGGGCGGGGGCAGGCGAGGAGCGAGCTGTTCTGGGCCTGGCTGCTCTGGGCCTGGCCTCTGTTGCTCTGGTCTGTTCCACAACCAGCTGCTCCAGGTCTGGCCACTGCTGCTCCTGATCTGGCTGCTCTAGGCTTGGCTGCTGCTGCTCTGGGCCTGGTCGCACCCGACCCAGCTGCTCTGGGCGCGGCTGCTCTGGGCCCGGCTGCTCCGAGCCTGGCAGCTCCTGACCTGGCTTCTCCAGGCTTGGTTGCTGCTGCTCAGGGCCTGGCTGCTCCCGACCCGGCAAATTTTATTAACCTCAAGATCAGTAGTCTTGAACCAGTAAACCTTGGAGGCACTTGGCCTCCTATGTGTATTCTGTCTCCAGGACTGCCCAGGGCTCTGTGGAGATAAGAACAACAGGAAGTGTTTTCTACCTAGAAAAAATTATACCCAGGTAGGTTTTGGTAACATGGAAGTAGATGAACTCCAAATTTTATGTTAATTACAAACTCTAATGAAATTATAAATATAAAAATACAATTATATTTTACACTAGGGGCCCGGTGCATGAAATTCGTGCACTGGGAGTGGGGGGGTCCCTCAGCCCAACCTGCCCCCTCTCACATACTGGGAGCCCTCAGGGGATATCCTATTGTCTGTAAGGGAGGCAACCGGGCTGATCAGGGGAAGGCACCAGCCTCATCACCCCTCTGCTGCAGCCACTGCCAGTCACCACAGCCCCCAAGGTGTTTTCATCAACACGGACTCCAGTCCCTTCACCATGAAAAAATGAAAACTTTCTTTAGGCATTTTCAAGATGTGTCTTTCATAGTATATGCATTTCTTTCCTTTTTTCTTTTTCTTTTTTTTTTTTTTTTTCCTTATTTTTTTTTTATTCTCACCTGAGGATATGTTTCCATTGACTTTTAGAGAATGTGGAAGAGATAGGGAAAGACAACAACATCAAAGTGAGAGGAACACTTTGGTCCTCCGGCCAAGGAGGAGGTTGCAACCTAGGTACATGCCCTTGATCAGAATCAAACCCAGACCCTGCTGTCGGCAGGCTGAGGCATTATTCACTGAGTCAAACAAGCTAGGGCAGGATATGACATTTCTTAGCCCTCCAGCAGCCGACCTTCATTTTTTCCACCAGTAGCGTGGTGGAAAACCCTATATCACCTTTTCTGATTCTTATTATCCAAATTACTAAGAATAGTACCAGGGGCATACAGGAAGCTTAGCCAACGTGCAGTCAGAAAAGGTGTTTCCTCTATAGTTCATACCAATCGAGGGCGAGGCCCTGCCTAGGCCTAAAGCCTCTTGACATCAGGGCCCGAATCCTCACTACAGTTGTCCCTTGGTATCTGCAGGAGTACCCCTGTGCGCACTAAAGTCCTTGGATGCTCAAGTCCCTTATAGAAAATGGTGGATGTATTTGCATATAACTTGATTTACACATCATTTTATTTGTATGAATTCAGCATAGTACTTGGTACATGGCAAAATCAAATTTTGATTTTTTGAGATTTATGGATTTTTCCCAAATATTTTTTATCTACAGTTTGTTGAATTTGCCCATGTGAAACCTGTGGATATGGGGCCAACTGGACCAGATACAGAGGTCCAAACCCATAACTTGTATGTTCTTTGCTGAAGGTGATTTGCACACATCTCATTCCCACCCCCAAATACACCCCACCTGATTTTTCAAAGAACTGGGCTTCAGCTTTTATTTACTTTTCTTATTATATTTTTGTGTCCTTATAATACTTAAAAATAAAAATATAACTGTTACCTATGCATCTACCACCAGTTTAAGAGAAACAGCCTTCAGTGTGTCCCTCCTTTAATTTCATTATTTTTCTTCCCTGTATTGGTATTGATTGTGAGTGTGAGGATAGAAAAAGGGCCTATTTTTTCTTGCTGTAGCCTTCCATAATTTATAAGAAGCCCCTAATAATTAAACTCCAAGATTGTTAGCTCTTTTTATTCAAATAGCATCCCTGTTCAAACTGTAAGACAAGTTAAACTACATTCAAGGCTACATTCTTGTATACCCCTCCTCCCTGCTATTTTCACAACTTGGGGATAATTTGAATCAAGAACTCTCTAGTTAGTAGAAAGTTCCCTTCCTCCCTTCTCTTCAAATAAGCCTCTTTGGAACACTTCATAACTTTTACTCTAAGAATGTTTTACAGGCTTAGGAAAAATACGAATAAGACACCTCCCTAGGACATCTGACAGACTATCTCAGTCCCACATCCCCCTCCCTTTCTTGTCACCTAGCAATGGCAGCTAATATGGCTCCAGACACCCACTGAGCAACTGGTAAAAATAACTTTAAGTATTTATAACAACTGAGGCAGGAGAGAGAAAGAGCAAGAAAGCCATCCCATAGAAAAAAAA